GGGGATGTGGCTCAGGGGTTGAGTGCCCCTGAGTTCAATCTCCAGTACCCTTACCCCCAAAAAATTTCCTTTTGATTTCTTCTTGGCCCTCTTGGTTGTTTGGGAGCATGTTTAATTTCCAAGTATTTGTGAATTTCCAGTATTATTCTGATTGATTTCTAATTTTATATCATTGTAACAGAAAATGTGCTTGATACGATTTCAATCTTAAATTTGTTAAGATTATTTTGTGGGCTGGTGCATAATTCATCCCGGAAAATGTCTGTGTGCAGTTGAGAAGCCTGTGCATTCTGCTGAGGTTGGGTGGAAAGTCCTGGATGCAGCTGTTCTGTCCACTTGGTCTATAGTATAGTTCAAATGTAATGTCTCCTCATTGATTTTCTGTCTGGATGATCCATCCATTGTTGAAAGCTGGATCTTCAAGTCCCCTGCTATTATTGTATTATTGTCTATTTCTCCTTTCATTTCTTTTAATATTTGCTTTACATATATAGATGGTATGATGGTGGAATGCATACACATTTATAATTATTATACCCTCTTAATGAATTGGCTCTTGTATCACTATGTAATGACCTTGTTAGTTTCTTGTTGCAGTTTTTGACTTACAGTCTATTTTGTCTGATATAAGTAAAGCAATCCTGCTCTCTTTTGTTTTATGTTTGCCTGGACCATCTTTTCCCATCCCTTTACTTTCGGTCTGCTCTTAAAACTGAATTGAGTGTCTTGTAGTTTGTGTATAGTTGGTTGGTTGGTGCTTTCTCTTCTATTCAGCTAGTCTTTTTTTTATTAAAGAATTTATTCCATTTACAATTAAAGTAATTATTGATAGGTAAGGACTACCTATTTCCATGTTGTTAATTTTGTACTGGATATTTTTTCTGTCCTTTCTCTCTTGCAGACAGCAAATCATCAAATCTTCTGTGATTTGATGATTTTACTATAGTGGTTGTTTTGTTTGCTCTTTCATTATCTTTTGTGTATCTAGTATAGGTTTTTCCTCTGGGGTGGTGATAGGCTTACATAAACACCTTGTAGTTATAATGATCTATTTTAAATTAATGACAACTTCACTTTGATGTTTCACTTTGAAAGAGCATGACCCAACTATGTGCCATGGTAGAACCACTTACTTCAGTTTTAAGAACAAACAGACTGAAGTAAAGTGATAGCATACAAAAACTCTACTCTATGACCCCTCCACATATTTTGTGTTTTCCATGTCACAATTTACACCTTTTTTTATTTTTAAATTGTCATTGTGATAATCAGATTTCCATTGCTATGATAAAATACCTGTACTTCAGAGGTTTTAATCACTTGCTGTGAAGCAATAATTAAAGACCAGGCAGTCAGTGTAGATAGGTAATTAGGTGGGTTCAAGAAAATGAAGGCCAGTTTGGGTCCAGGAAGTTGGAGACTGCTGGGGAATTAAAATGTTAATGCGACCAGAGCCCTTCCTCCACCCTTATCAAGTTAACCTGTCCCTGCTCCAACCTGTTGCTAAGCTAACTTGTTCCAGGAATTGTCCCTCCCTATAAGGAGCTGTAAAAGTTGTTAATGCTTGCTTCCTGGATCACCCCATTTGGCCCTTCCCCTTGCCCATCTGCTTCTCACCTTTTGGCCATCCCACCTGCATCTCCTGAGCCCAATCACAGTATACAGGAGGGAGAGCTGTAAGCGGGGAAAGAGCAGGAAAACAAAGAAAGTCTAAAATATATAAAAGGGGCAAGAGACCCTCACTTCTTGGGATACCAGGATACCAGCTATGGCCCCCATCTCCCTCCCAGGAGAAGTCTGTGTTACTATTTTTTAATAAAACCTGCTTTATACGCTTGCCTGGGCCACTTCTCTTAAGTTCAAACTTCAACGTTTGAGGAAGCAGAACTCGTCACTGATAACCAGTGGGTCTCAGTTGCTTGGTTCCACTGTTTCTGGGCCTGTGGTGTGGCAGAGCATCCTGGCAGGGAGCACATGGTAGAGCAAGGGAGCCAGGAAGCAGAGACAGGGACAGTAAAAGAGACACAGGGGGTTGGGACAAAAAAAATCCCTTTCAAGCCCATGCACCCAGGGACCTACTCTAATTAGACCCCACCTCCAGAAGTTTCCACCACCTCCCAGTAGCCAACCAGACCTTTAACACATAGATTTTGGGTGACATTTCAGATGCAAATTATCACAGTCAGATAATCCAGAGATCTCCAGTTCCTAGGGGTTGATTACTGGAATGTGATTTTATTTCTTTGGTAGTGTTACATTTTATTGATTTTTTTTATGTTCCTTGAAAGTCTTGTATTGGTATATTTGCATCTGAAGAGCCAACTCTTCTATCCTTACTTACTGGCTTCACCAGACAGATCATTGAGGGTTTCCCTGCTCTCTTTTAGACATTTTCTGTGTATGTGCCTGTTCCACCCCTATCATTCCCTCTTAGTGGGTAATTCTTAAAGCAGTATGCCTTATCTTGATTCTACAAAGCCCAGCTGTGTTAGCTTTTTGTCACTGTGACCAAAATACCTGACAGGAACAACTTAGAGAAGGGAAAGTTTATTTTGGTTCAGTTTTAGAGCTTCAGTCCAGCGTGGACTGACTGTATTGCTCTGGGCCCAGAGTGAAACAGAACATCATGGTGGAAGGGCATGGTAGAGAAACTCCAATCCATTTATGGTGGCCAGGAAGCAGAGCAAGCAAAAGCAAGGGCCGGCAGAGAAGATGCACCCTTCCAGGACACACCCCCAGTGATTCCCTGCCTCCAGCCACGCCCCACCTGCCCAGAGTTACCACCTCTTCAAACTAGGATGGACAGATGGATTAGGTTATAGCTCAATCATTTTACCTTCAAACATTCCTGCATTATCACAGGAGTTTTGGGGGACCCCTTATGTCCAAACCATAACACAAGCTGGGTCCTGAGAGCCTCCTGTTTATTTTCTTTATAGTGGTGCCCCAAAAGTCTCAAGTTGGAGTATTCTCATCTTTTGTACTAAAGCCTGCTCTCCATACAAGATGTTTATGCTCTCTGTTGCTGTCTGCAGGTATGTGCTGAGGGAGCTGGTCTGGTAGGGCTGGGGGTGGGGGGGAGTGAGGCCTGAGCATCAGTTAGAGTGCCTGTGGGGCCAGTCGTCGCACAGTTGAGGTGCTCTGAGTGGTTCATGGTGAGCTTCCTGCTGGAGTCTACGGAGCACTTGGTGGAGTCCATGGCTCCTGACCCTGCTCCCAGCCTCTCCTAACTACTCAGCCATTCAGATCATCTGAGTATTCTTGGAGGGATGAGAAATCAGTGGGCCTCCTGCCTGGTATCCCTCACAGCTACACTCTCACGTTCCCTTATGGGGAAATCTCGGGCTGAGGGTGTGTTTCTTGGAACTGAGCTGTGCAAAGAGCGATATATGTGGGTAAGGCGAAATTCTTTTCAATGCATCTGTTCTTGTTTTGTTTTGTTTTGGTTTTCATTCAACAATGTGCTGGAACTTCTCTGCTGGACTCCCAGACTCCCATGGAGGTGATCTCATCTTTGAGTAGCTGTCACAGTGCACAGTCTTCTGCAGGGGGATAGTGATAGAAAGTTATTTTGCTATCTTGCTGATGTCATCTTTTGATTTATGAATTTTAAGGATTTATCTTATTGATTGGTTGAAAGTAGCTATATGGAGATGACTATTGTAATAATCCAAACTCCTTAACTTTAATTTAGGAAAGTTGATCAATAACATACTCACTATGCAGCACCTCAGGGTTTGCTTTTGCAAACCTCTGCACAGACCACAGATATTCTTCATTCATCAAACTTCGATTGAGCATCATTGTGTCCCAGGTATTGTGCCATTTACGGATGATGCAGATAGGAAAAAAACAGTTTTCTTTCTCTCTCAGGCATCCAGGTACAACACATAGAAAAAATTCAGCACTTGTAGTAGACACTGGAGTAAAAATTTATAAAAATGGCCAGTACTGGCACCAAAGAGGGAATGACTATTTCTTTTGAAGCAGAAAAAGCAGAACACAAGGTTAGAGCAAAGTTCTGGAGTCGTATTTATAGAACTGGAATCCCAGCCCTACCACATATAAGCCATTGACACAGAATCTTAGCACCTCAGTTCCCTCACGTGGAGGTGATGACGAGACCTATCTACAGTTAAAACCAGGCAGCATGTGCCACACAGTTTCATTTTCAACCTGGATAAAAGGAAAACTCTATTTCCTGGTTCCCCTGCAGCTAGGAGAGACCATGTGTCAGACTTTGGGCACAGAATGTGGAAGAAGTTGTTGGATACCAGTTGGAGCCTGGGACCCTAAAATATCTATGTGATCCTCCACATGCTCTGTCCTTTCTGTGGAAAGACTGTGGGATGACTGGGCCATGTTATGAAAGAATCTTAAACCCAGCACTCAATGACTTGATGACAGCTGCCTGTTTTAGTCAGTTTTTAGTCACTGTGACCAAAATACCCAACAAGAACAACTCAGAGGAGACAAAGTTTATCTGGAGCTCACAGTTTCAGAGTTCTCAGTCCAGAGAGCCAACTTCATTGTTTTGGTCCCAAGGTGAGGCAGAACATAACAGGGGAAGGGCATGGCAGAGGGCAGAGGTACAGAAAGAACATCTCTTCCAGGGCACCCTTCAGTGACCCACCTCCTCCAGCCATGCCCCACCTGCCTACAGTTACCACCCTGTTATTCCATTCAAACCAGAATGGACTGATTAGGTTACAGCTCTCACAATCCAATCATTTCATCTCTGTATATTCCTGCATGAACAGGAGCTTTGAGGGGACACCTCATATACAAACCACAACATGCCCAAGAGGGCCGCCCAGCCAGGCACATGCACATCAGATTCTGCTTGAGAAGACAGCCCAGTCTCACTGCGATGCTGGAACTGCCTTATTCCAACAACCAGCCTGTCCTTCAATGTTCTACTTCAAAGGTCACTGAACGCTGAATGAGTTAAAAAGCTCATGAAACGCTCTCAGTACCTGCTAGCCACTAAGGCTGTCATCATTGCCAGGATACAAACAAGGAGCCCACTACAGAACTGGGACTTGAGGGAATGGACGGTGAAGGGGTTGTCAAGAGTTTTTGAACAGAAGGGGAAAAAAAAATATGAAAAGTCAAGGAAGGTAGAGAAAAAGTGATAGAGAGAGAGAGAGAAAAAAAAAAAAAAGAATATAAAAACCACTGAAATGGGACAAAGGGAGCAAGAGCAATCCAAACAGTGGCCAGAGCAGCTGCCCTGAAAATATGTCCTTGCCGCCTAGCGTCCAGCCTGTGCTGCTCAAGGCAGCGTGGCCAAGCCCATGGGGCCTGCAGACAGCTGCTCACTGGCGCTCTGAGATTTCTCCCTCATCCGTTCCAGATCCAGATGGAGAGACAGGAGGCCTGGCCTTTTCATTTGTTACCACCGGATGGAAAGCTCTTTCTTGGACACTTGTTTTTACTACTTGAAATGTGTTTCTTTTATCACCTTCCGGTCACAGGCTCAGTCTTAGAAACAGCAGAAAGCTCTGCAAAGGCTAGGCCAGGCGAACAAAGCACAGAGCAGTCTTTGTCTCTGGGCTGTGAGGGAACAAAGGACAAATGTGTAGAATAGCACTAGGAAGCTGCAGAGGGCTGTCTCCAGTGCCCCTCTGAGCGACACAGTTCCCTAGGCCCAGGGGTTTCACCTGCAGCCAGGCAATGATCTTTCTTAGTGCTAAGCTCACCAGGAGGCTGAGGAGCTAAAGCAGCTTTCATCTCCTTATCCCTGACCCACAGACCCACTGAGAAGCATCCTGGAGGGGGACAGCCCTGGAACTTACTTGAGCCGAACTTCCTAAGGTTTGCTTATCCAGAAAGCAGTTGTTCTGGGGTCCCTGTTAAATGTTGTTGAGCTTTGAGGTCAGCCAAGCCGTCACTTCTGCTTGTGAGAAGAAAAGGAACCATCTACACAGTTAGAAAATCGACACCAAACCGACCAGACTGAATCAACCTCTTTAATATGGAAATCTTATGGAACAGAGAGCTACCTGGGCAAAACACAGTAGTTGTCCTTTCCAGGCAAAAAAGGCTACCCGTGCCTGAAAAACAGGAAGAAGCTATAAGGAAAATCAGATCCAGAAAAACAGAATGTGGTTGTATGTGAAATTTATGAAGCCTTTACCTTTCTCTCCAGATTCTTCTTCTGTCCAAGTCTTCCCTGCCAATTTCTGGCCCTGGTGTTTTCCCAGATTTACTTTCCATCAGGAAGCATTTGAGAGCAGTGCTTCTTGCGGATGGACTCCTTCTAACCAAGCCCCTCCTAGGAGCCCTGAGCATATAAATTAAAGTGCATTAGCCCCCTCAGGCCTTTTTCCCGGAGAGGAAATCACGTCTACTTACACATATCTGTAAATCAAGACCTATTTGTCTATGGCGTTTTTGTGGATATGGCAAAACAAAACCCAGGCTGGCTTGGCTTGCATGAGAGCTGAGCACACAAAGAGATCCATTCATGCCTTTGGGCTTCAGAGAATCCTCTGGTCCAACCAAGGTCAATGATATGATCACAGACTGATTTCAGAAGTTAGTTTTTTAAAGGTGCATTTCACTGCTGCTAAAACTATTTTTCCTCTGTATACTCTGGATATTAGGGCTCTATCTGAAGTGTGAGGAGTAAAGATTTGTTCCCAGGATGTAGGCTCCCTATTTACCTCTCTTATTGTTTCTTTTGCTGAGAAAAAACTTTTTAGTTTGAGTAAGTCCCATTTGTTGATTCTAGTTATTAACTTTTGTGCTATGGGTGTCCTATTGAGGAATTTGGAGCCCGACCCCACCGACTGTAGATCGTAGCCAACTTTTTCTTCTATCAGACGGCGTGTCTCTGATTTGATATCAAGCTCCTTGATCCATTTTGAATTCACTTTTGTGCATGGCGAGAGAAAGGGATTCAGTTTCATTTTGTTGCATATGGATTTCCAGTTTTCCCAGCACCATTTGTTGAAGATGCTATCCTTCCTCCAATAAGAGAACAAACAACCCAATCAACAAATGGGCCAAGGACCTGAACAGACACTTCTCAGAGGAGGACATACAGTCAATCAACAAGTACATGAAAAAATGCTCAACATCTCTAGCTGTCAGAGAAATGCAAATCAAAACCACCCTAAGATACCATCTCACTCCAGTAAGATTGGCAGCCATTAGGAAGTCAAACAACAACAAGTGCTGGCGAGGATGTGGGGAAAAGGGTACACTTGTACATTGCTGGTGGGACTGCAGATTGGTGCAGCCAATTTGGAAAGCAGTATGGAGATTTCTTGGAAAGCTGGGAATGGAGCCACCATTTGACCCAGCTATTCCCCTTCTTGGTCTATTCCCTAAAGACCTAAAAAGAGCATGCTACAGGGACACTGCTACATCGATGTTCATAGCAGCACAGTTCACAATAGCAAGACTGTGGAACCAACCTAGATGCCCTTCAATAGACGAATGGATAAAAAAAACGTGGCATTTATACACAATGGAGTATTACTCTGCATTAAAAAATGACAAAATCATAGAATTTACAGGGAAATGGATGGCATTAGAGCAGATTATGCTAAGTGAAGCTAGCCAATCCCTAAAAAACAAATGCCAAATGTCTTCTTTGATATAAGGAAAGTAACTAAGAACAGAGTAGGGACGAAGAACAGGAGAAGAAGATTAACATTTAACAGGGATGAGAGGTGGGAGGGAAAGGGAGAGAGAAGGGAAATTGCACGGTAATGGAAGGAGACCCTCAGGGTTATACAGTGGAGGGGGTAGAGAGAGAGGAGGGGAGGGGAGGGGAGAGGTGGGGAGGGGGGAGGGTGGATGATGGGAAAGGCAGCGGAGCACAACAGACACTAGTATGGCAATTTGTAAATCAATGGATGTGTAACTGATGTGAATCTGCAATCTGTGTATGGGGTGAAGGTGGGAGTTCATAACCCACTTGAATCAAAGTGTGGAATATGATATGTCAAGAAATTTGTAATGTTTTGAACAACCCACAATAAAAAATTAAAAAAAAAACACCTATTTTTCCTCTTTTAAAACAAATGCTCAGAAATAAGAAACAAGCCTAAGAGGGCATATCAAATCTGAATGGTAGTTGTGTCTCTTTAAAATACGCAATGGTGTTATATAGTAGATTAGCTGTAAAGTCTAATCAAAAACACCTCCCGTGCTGCAGAATTTGACTCCCAATATGTAATACAGAAAACTCTCAGAAATGTTCACAATTATTATTATTACTATGTAAATGCACAACTCCTGCATCTTAGCTAGAATGGTCTCCTAGGGTGGGGAGTAGATTTTATTCTTTCTTTGACTCCTTTCCTTTCTACTTTCTTTCCTCCCTTCTCTTATTTTTTCTTTATTATCCTTTTTTTTAAAAAAAATGAAAAAAAGGGAAAGAAAAAGTGACATTTATTGAGCACCCACTCTGTTGACAAGTGCTTTCCAAGTATTTATGCAACCTCACAGCAACCACGATTCCTTCCATCGGTTTAATCTGATAAAAAATCCTGTCACACTTCCAATGAGCCCATTTTTAATAGATTTGATTTCTAAAGTAGCAAAGACAATTTATTAAGTGTATTGCTCTAAGATGTCCAAGACCTTAATATGTCCAATATCTATTTAGATACCTGTGTGATCTGCAAAGCCTACACATTGTCTTTAATTTAATATGCACATCGCACATACTCAAAAATGCACACTCTTCCTCTTTACTCTGTGATGTGTGTGCAAGGTTTCATTTGCTGGTTGTGCTGTGTCCTGGCTCTCTCTCTGCCTCTTCTTCCTCTGCTTCTCAAATGCCTTGATTAGCCTCTGAGTACAAGGCAGATGAACAGTCTTAAGAAGTCCCTCTGCCCTTCCCATCACCGTTCTGACTTTCCTTGACTAATCCCTCCTCTGCAGCCTCCTTGCCCTGCCCTCTGCCCTGGTTGGCTCCTCCAGGATGTTGACCTGCAAGGGGTAGGGAGTTAAGGAAGGGAAGTTGCTCCAAGGGAGTGGGGAAGAGACCTGTCACTGCCCAGTATTTTCCCAAAGGAAAAGTTCTTCAAATCAAATATCTGAAGAATGAGACAATTATTCAAATGGAAAGAAGTTGAATTTATTTAAAAGATTACATGGAATCTTGAGAAATTAGTAGATAATGTCCCTTATTTGACCCATTTCCATCTTGATGCTTGTCTCATACCTGGGGCAGCATATAGCTTCCAACAGATGGGACCCAAAGTTGCCTTCAGACCTGCTCTTCCTTAGTTGGGGGGAGGTCTGTATTTTCCCAGAGATGTATTCACTCTTCTCCATGGTTTCCCACACTTATCAAGCTCCTCCTCTCTTGCTTCATCACTTTCTTCCAGGAAGGATTAACAAAATCAACCTGTAAGTCAGGAATGGTGACTTAAAGTTTGAGGCCAGCCTCAACAAAATCCTGCCCCACAATAAAAAATAAAAAGAACTAGGGATGTAGCTTAATGGTAAAGCGCTCCTGGGCTCAATCCCCAGTACCAAAATAAATAAATAAGTGGAAAGGAAAAAAGAAAATCAACCTTCACATATGCTTTTGGCCAAATAAATTTTACAGCGAAGAAATTTATACTTTTTACCAAAATAGCTTCTAAGAAGCATGTAGGGAAGTTAAATTTTGCTGGGCAGAATTGTGCCCTTGAGTTCTCCCTGGATGTAAGGAAAATAAAAGCTCCTGACTGTTGGGCTCTTTGCTCTTTACAATCATAAAGGAACGTAGCATTATATCTTCTGCTGAGACACAGAGAGGTTGTGTGACTTCTCCAGGTCACAAAACTAATCAATAGTGAAGCTGGAGCGTGGCCCACACCTGTCTGATTGAAAATCCTTATCTTACCACACGTTTCATATGCCAAGGGGACTGTGGGGGCACTGAAAGTCTGTCTGTCCATAAACATCTGTTCATACAGATGTCTACAACTAGCCCCACAAGTACCTTGTAAGGCCTGTAGGTGGTGCTAGTAGTAGCATGAGAGGGACTGCCCATGTAGGGTCTATTAAAAATGCTTTCATCTACATTAACTTGTTTTACATATGGAACTGAGTCACAAATTCACAGTTTCTTCAGTATTCCAGGATTTCTCAGAGCTTTTTTCTATAGTAATGTTAGCTAAGAATCTCAGAGACAAATGGAGCTTTTAAATTTCCTAAATTTTTGACCAAGGGGCCCTTTGTGTAGGCAGAAGCTTGGAGCCATTGTTTTGCCAGGCATTGGCTGGGAGATGCTGGGGTTGGTGGTCTGAGTCTTAACACAACGTTCTCAGGTATGCCAGTGAATTAGTTCATCAGGATCCCCGCCCCCCGCCCATTCCTCTTCTATTCTTTTCTAAAAGGAAGCAGAAGATAGAAGATATGGGGGCAGTAGAAGGGTCATGACAGGACTGACGGGGTGAGGGGGTAGCGTAAAGGTGGGGGTCATTTGGGCAAGTGATTTAACCTTTCCCAGCCTGGGGCTTCTAACTCATAAAATGGGCATGGCAATGTCCCCCTAGCAGTCTTACACAAGAGATGCTGAGTATGGTATGGGGTACACGTATTATCATCAGTGTGGCTGCTATTTATCATCCTATTACCTCTTTCATTGAGCATCGTGACCTGGGGAAAATTTTGAAACCAAGTGAAGCCCATTTCTTCCCCTTTAAAACAAAAACAAAGGTTCTATATCACAAGGCTGTTGAGATGCTGTAAGCCTCTGCCCAGTGACAAGCACATGGTGGCTTCTCACTGTGTGATGTCAGGTTGTTTTCCTCCACCAGCCCTGCCTCTGGGGGGGGGGGGGATGGGGTGGGGTGGAGGGGTGGGGGTGGGGTGGGCACCCTCCAGCTTGCTTGCCTCAGTCCTGGAGAAAACGCACAGGTTGAAGGCTGTTCTAATTCATACTTCTGAGTCCTTCTTTCACCTTCCATTTGGACAAATTTATTTCTCTTGGGATCATGAAGCTCATTCATCATGATAGGCATTTTGGTGTGCAGCTTTTGGGTTCACTTCCATGTTTAGGATGGACATTAATTACAAAGCACACCGACTGCAGATCTGATGTGACGCCTCACAGCAACTGCCACGGCAGAACCCAGTGCTCTTGCTCCCACAGTCTCAATCTTGTGACCTCTCGTCAGGTGCAAATTGTGGCTGACCTGATCCAGGTGTGCCTGGGGTAGGCAGTCTCTGTAATTTTATTCGGTTCCGAATTCTTGTCAGTGTTCAGCAGAATCTAATGGTTCTGTGGTGAATATTCCCCTCCTTTTTTTCCCCTCTGATCAAAGAATAACTATGAATTGGGGAAAACATTACAGATGAGAAACAATGAGCCCAGTTTTTGCTTGTGTAAACTCAAGCAAGGGCTGTCACAGGGATTCAGTTCCCTGAGGCAAACCCAATAGAAAATGCCACAGGCAGCTTCCCCGTGACACTTCATTTCTGCACAGTCCCAGGCAGTGTTACATAAACTGAATGTCCAACCTGCTTTTCTTTCTAAAATTTCAATAGACCTTAACTTGCAGGTCTTACAGAGACATAACTGTACTCCACACGGAGTGGCACACTATAGTTTTGCCAGGTGGAGGAGACTTCCTGTTGATATCAACCATTTTCATTTGTTGCAGGATCAGAAATAAAACCATATGAAAAATTCATATAAGATTCAGACATTAACCAGCACATGGTAAGAGCCAGATAGATAACTGGTAGCAAAGTTCGTGCAGAGTCCTGTAATTTTATGAAGAACCATTTGGTCTTCAATTCTGCAACTTATTAGATTTCTGAACAAAAGAAAAATCCAAGAGCACTATGAAGTCAAATTTAGTATGCTTACTTCACTCCGGAGCAGAAATGGAGTTACTAAAGACCGTTTGACAATTTGTAGTTATTTGAAGAGCATTGCTGGATTTAGACACCTAGGTATTTTATGTGCACCTGGTGCCCTCTAGTGACAGGGTGAGCAGAGTCCAGTAACACT